TGACTTTGTACGCAAATCAACTCCCACCGCACCTTCTCCCCTGTTTGGGGGACCATGGTGCATGGTTGGATTAGGATTCTAACCCAAGAGAACACACTATATTTCTCTTTCTATAGAAAGAGAAACATAAAGTGTGTTAAACAAGGAAAGATTTGTACTAATTTTACAATGCAAAACAGGCCGGTATTCATATTCGATTCTTACATTTAAGAATGTAGTCTTAAATATAGTCTTAAGAAGTCATAAATCAATCCTAGGACTGTATTAGCATCTTAAAACATTATTTAAGATAGTTTCAAAATAAAAACAGACTATAAATATATCGTCCCATCGCGTTTCACAGTTGGTAGCCTTAGTCTCTTATAGACATTCACAGAGACAGCAGAGATTTAGAGAGAAACGATTGCAAACTGAGCACACCATTCTGATGCATTCTGAATTACGCATGAAGCACATGATGTATCGTTTTATCCTTTATTATTTGGTGAACAACAAGGACAAATGAAGCATCATGCGCTTCATGCGTAACTTGGAACGCACCCCATGTTATCCCTTCCATCATGCTTTATACGCAAGCGCAAAACGAGACGCACGTTGATCAAGTGAGTGTGTTCTTTTCTAAGGGGCTCCAAACAATAAAAGAAATAGAGAACAGAGAATAAGAATTTCAACCTATCAAAAATTGTGTATTCCACAATACATGATTTCTGATAGATCAAAATTCTTATTCTCTGTTCTCTGTTCCCTGTTCCTTTTATTGTGCAGAGCCTCTACCCCCACTCCTCGAATGCTCGGTCTAGAGATACTATGTCTATGAACGCGAGATATATATCATGTCAAAAAGTTGATGAATACTCAATCCTTCCTTGTTTGACATACTTTATAATGCATCTTAGTTTCTCTTTCTAACCTTAAAAGAAAGATGAATTGGTGCAAAAGTTCAGCCAAAAAGTACAGACCTCATGAGTTACTAGGCTTGTTCTTTTTGGCTGAACTTTTGCACCACTTCATATTTCTTCCTCTTTTTTCCTCTTGGAGAGAAAAGAAAGAACAATGAACTGGTGCAAAAATCCCGCCAAAAAGAACAGACCTATTGTCTTGCACGCACATATATCTATATAAAAGGGCAAAAAGGATTATTTAAAAATACAGAAAGTATTGTTTAAAAATAGAAGTTTTATGTTTTGTTTTGCAGATTATATCTATAAAGCGACTATGTGCAGGAAAAAAGTTCGAAGTGACAGACAATTTGATAACGTGGATTACGCACAACTTGCAGAAACCGATAATGATTTCTTTGATTCACAAGTGAGTAAAAAAAGACAATATAACGATTCATTCATCATATAGTTATGAAGTAATATTTATTTTTATTGTTACTGTGCTTAAGAATTTATTATTTAATTTTTTTTATTATTTTATTAATTCTTTCGATTTTTATTTAAAATTATATTTTGTATAATCAAATAAAAAAATATTTGTTAATTTTTAGTTTGTAAGCCCACCAATAAAAATACCATGGAAGGCCATTATGTTAGCAGTTCTCCTATTCATTGGAGGCACTATCATGCTCATAATGGGAAGCTTGATTGTGAGTGGACACATTGATTCAAAAGTAAGATTTATTTTATTATTGTAAATTATATAAAAATTACAATTTATTCTTTAGGTTTGTGCATCATATTTTACATAATAATTTTAGCAAGTATGCAAATACGAGATGTTTTATCTAATATACGCTTTAATAGATTTAAAGATATATTCAGTGTTGTATATGTAATAGGTATTTTTTAAAATATATCTAGGTATAAATATAAATACTGTGTCAGAGAAGTGTCTAATACAGATATAAATACATTTAAAAAAATTGCTCAGGTATAGTATAGAACGTGTCACATTTGATGCTCACACTGCTCGTGGAATTAGAGTATCTGTAATAAGAGTACGGACAACAGATCGTGAATGAGATAAAATCGGAAACGCATCAAAACGCGAGCAAATTTTCAAATGTGACGTGTAAAACTGAAATTGTATGACAGTATATAACAGTAGATGCGTTCAGCAGAACGCAACCGTTTTATGAATGTCTGCTGAAATAAGATTCCATTCCTCTGGATCTTAAAATATAATTTAATTAGCGCGAAGAAAACTTCCAACAATTGCAAAGCAAATATTCTGAACACAGAAGGAGAGAGCCAATGATTTTATAATGGATAAATTAAAGAAGGATAACAACAGAGGTAAAATACGCAAATGAAGTGAAATTTGTTTAAAAATAAATCATATGAAAATGAATGAGCTTAAAAAAAAGATTTCAGGAGTAACTACCTTTTTAAAAGTATATTTAATTATATATTTAATTTTTTGTTAATTATATAAATACTTTATTATACCGTATATACAATTTGCCAATTTAAATCGAAAACATCAATAAGGACAAAATTGCATAATAATGCAAAGTAATAAATCAATATATAATTACGTTTTTTCTCTTCATTTTCGTCTTCCCTCTTCTTCGTTTTTATACGTCGGTGTTTCGAACAAATTAATCTGGATAAAATTAAACAAAGAAATTATGTGCATAAATAAACACGCGCGCGCGCGCGCACACACACACACACACACACACACACACACACATACACACACAAAATCAATGATAAATCATAAAAATCAATGAATTATAAAAAGGGAAATTAATAAAATAATCTTGAATGCAAAAATTAATTATCAAGGTATTATATTTCACGGCAATATTACAGTAAAAATCAAAATAAAAATTATAGTCATATGAAATAAACCTTGCTGTAAATTCCTATGGGTTTGTCTAATCATGGGTAAATTCGACTGGTCCCTATTGGAGGAGGCTTTTCTGTAAACTGCCATGGGTTTTTTATGGGTTCCTATAGAGGACTATAAGATTCTGGCTGTGTTCCAAAATTTACTGTCAGTACTGAAAATTTATAGTTTTCTATATAAAGATTATGCGTTTCGCGGGTTTCCTCCGTATCCAGATCCATTTTTTGAGGCATTCCAAGATTTTCAATACTGACAGTAAATTTTGGAACACAGCCTCTGTAGGAGCTTGTATAGTGTAAACAATTAATGACAACAGAGAAAAATATCAGGGCGTTCCTGGTCTCGAACCCAGATCTGGTCTCTCTTCCGAGTTGGTAGACTTGTTGGTAGACTAAGCCACACAGACGCTGATAGCTTCTCTGTTGTGCCTCTAAATTTCTTAAATAGATACTTAGGATTTGCACAGCATGTATATATAGGATAACAAAGGAAATTTTTCTACAAGGTTTTACATAGGAATCTATGACATCTAGTCCATGAAAAGAGGCTTCTATAAGATCGCATGAGAAAAAGAATGATGTGCACGTTGATGCAATCCTAAATGATATACAAGATATCCCATATTTGGGATTATTTTCGTATGCAGATAAAGTAGATTAAACTGAGTCGAAAAGTCCTGTATCATTTTGTAATCATGTTTGCCGAAAGCGGGTAAAATCGATATAGAAGATAACTTTAAGATAGTTTTCAGAGTTCTTTATGACATATTTTAAAGATATTTTTCAAAGAACTCTTAAAGATACCTTAAAATTGTCTAATACGTCGGTTTTATACATTCTGCTCACTGGATAATAATTGCAAAAATTGCAAAATAATAGAAGACTTTTCGGTTCAGTTTAATCCACTCTATCTGCATACGAAAATATTATAGTTCTAAATATTTTGAGATATCCTGTATAGTTCCAAAATAATCACAAATATTCTGAGACAGCCTATAATTTACATATTAGAGTGTATACACAAAATGCTATAACAGTAGCCGACTGATGTAATTTTACATAAAAATCTAAGATAATTTTTTCATAACTCCAAAAACTGAAAGTTACGTGATAAACAAGGTGTGTTTGGTAACTCAAAAAAGTCATATAGAGTATATATTTTCTTTATGGCAGTCAGGATTTTTTTTATCCAACATGGAACGTATCTCATTTATTAACTATTATCGTGACTTCCAGTTTTTAGGAGTTACGAATTATTCTCTCAAAATGATATAGGTACCTATAGGAATGCGGAAGAGATGCCTCATGAAAACTAAATAGCTATAGGATACTACACTTTGACGTATAGGAACATGTACATGTAGGTGCACATAGGACAGAGATGTGCATACATCATCCTGTAGGCATTTTCAGTCTCCATGAGGCATCTTTTCTTTGTCTTACGTACATGTTACTATAACATGTTACTATACGTCAAATTGATATCCTATAGACCTTTTAGTTTTCATGGGGCATCTGTCCATAGTCCTGTGGGTACCTCTATTACTCTATTTGCATTCCTATGAATGTCCTACGTATATCTGCGCAAATTCTATAGATAACTACACAAATTCCTACAGAATCTTATAGTTCTCTATACGAACCCATAAAAAACCCCTTGGGAATTTGCAGTAGAGTACACTTGTATCTTTTTACTTATAACTTGTTAAATTTGAATAAGTTATTGCATCAGCTGAAAATGGCATCAAACTACAACATTTTAAACCATTTTGTATTGCATCTTTCAAATTTATGATGTTATAGCTTCTTCTAAAATTAGAGCAAAAGTTTCTTTTCCTTCGTTAAATTTAAATACATTTCCCTTCGTTTTTTAGTCTCCAATTAAAAACTTCTTTTTTCTAAGCATTTTTTAGAGGGTGGAAAACAGAGACATCCAAAAGTGTAATATATGAATTGCATTTGGATACAAGGCAATTAATTCAATTTGAACACTGCGACAAAATTTTATTAATGTTAAATGTGAGGAATGTCCATCAACATACAAAACAATAGGAAATTTAATATTATTGGTAACTAGCCATTGATAAAAGTTATTATTAATGAATTCAAAGAAGGATTCTGTTATCCATTCTTTCTCAGATAAAATCAATTGACCAATCTTGTGGAAATTAACTAGAAATCCTATGTGGTATCGTTTGTACAGGGTGCGGCAGAGAAACTTACTTTTTTTAAAGGTTAATAAAAACGAAACTATTGCAGATATCGGTATAATTCTTTTTTCCTCTTACAGATCACCTCATCAAATTTTTTTTCATGCACTTTTGAAAATTACATCTATCAAATGACGGCCGCCGTTGTCTATGCACTGATTGAGTCGATTTCTGAAGTTTTGCGTCACTCTCTGAAGCATGTCCACCGGTATTTCGGCGATGGCGTTCCGAATGTTTGTCTTCAGGTGAGCTAGGGTCTCTGGTCGATCGTTGTAAACAATAGACTTCAAATAACCCCATAGGAATAATGAAGCGCGCTCGAAAGGCACGTTGAGTGGCGACAATGGAGCGGCCATTACCAAAGTATGCCTCGACGGCAAACGCGCGATGCTCTCTTGTCCAAAGCATGATCGAGACTGGCTGTGGGGGGAATAAAAATTGAGGACCTATCCTTTCGGACGCACTCCCTCCCAGCTTCCTACCTTCACCCCTTGCCGTTTGGCGCGTTTTTCAAAAAAGTAAGTTTCTCTGCCGCACCCTGTACGTAAACATTACCATAGGAGATACTAACATACCACCAGCCTTAACCATAAGTAACACAGTCAAATATTCTTTATCGTTATTTACAATTTTGTGGACTGATTTAGATCCTTTTTTCACAAGTACGAGTACATATTCTTCTTTTGGAGACAGAAGAAAAGCAGATTCATTACAGTTATAAACTCTTGAAAAATCTATTTTTAACAAGTTTAATCTTTCTAAATGTTGTCGAACCAATCAAACCAATTACGTATGTTGTCTTCAGTAATTGCAACGATATAGAAAGGCATGAAAAGAGAATTAAGAAGAACACTAAGAGATTTGAAAAAAGGAAGAATCAACAAGGAAATTTGTGGGAAAAAGGAAAGATACAAGGAATGGTGTGAGAGACAGAAAAAGAAACATAAAGAGGAGGAAGAGAAAAAGATACGAAATATAAAATGTGAAACAGAAGCCTGGAAATACATTAATAAGTATATAGAGAAAAAAGTAAGAGAGATAAGTGAAAACATACAAATGGACTAATGGAGCTAGAGGGAACATAGGAGAAAAGAGTATTGTTGCTGGATAGTGATGAAAATAAAGAAGAAAGAATGAAAAAAAGAAGAGACAGAAAATATCGCGAAAGAAGAGCTGATAGAAGTGCTGAAGAAACTGATACAGAAATGTATAAAGGATCGTCCATTAAAGGAAGAAAGCAACTGGGAGAAAAAAGGAGGGAAATACTGGAAAGAGCAGGGATGAGTAAGGGACAGGTGAGGTTAGAAAGAGAGGACGAAGATAGGAGTACAGCTGAGGACCTAGTAAAGAAGAAAATGAAGGCGCCAGGAGAAGACGAATAGAGAACGAGGCATGGAGATTTATGTCTAAGGAGAGAAGAATCTTAGAAGCAAATCAATAAAGTGTGGAAAGGAGAAGGAATCCTGACAGACTGGAACAAAGGCATAATAAGCCCTATATACAAAAGGAAAGAGAGAGAAAGGTGATTAAAAATTACAGAGGAATCACGTTGATAGGTACGGTGTACAAAATCTATGCGAGTATATTAAATAAAAAGTTAGAGAAAAAAGTAACTGATAAGCTGAAGGAAGGGCAGTTCGGATTTAGAAAGGAGAGGAATAATGAATGCGGTATATATGTTGAATTATGTAATTAACAGAGAGCTGGGCAGGAAAGGGGGAAAGATATTCGCCTTTTTTGCTGATTTAAAAGCATTTGAAAATGTAGATAGAAGACAGCTAAATGAAGGGGATGGAGATAGAAGAGAACCTGAGACTGAGAATTATGAAGACGTATTAAGAAATGAAAAATGTGGTTAAAATAGGTGACAAAAAATCGGAAGAATTTTGGACGGAAAAAGATCTTAGACAGGGATGTCCCTTGAGTCTAACTCTGTTTAACATATATGTGTATGAACTTGAAATAGGAGATGGAAGAAGGACAGGAGGCATTATAACGAGAAAGAGAAAATGTGGGTCAATTATGAATGCTGACGACGTGGTTCTACTGGCTGATAGAGAATCAGAGCTGAAGGAAATGTTGAAGAGATTCAAGAAGTTTTTAGGAAGAAAAGGTCTGAAACTGAATCCAGAAAAATCGAAAGTAATGGTGTTCGAGAAAGGAAGAAGCGGAATGAAAAAAAAAATATGGAAATGAGAAGGAAAGGACATAGAGGAAGTGAAAGAAATAAAATACTTGGAATATACTCTGTAGAAAAATGGAAGGGCAGAAAAGCACATTAGAGAAAGGATGAAGAAAACAATAGTAGCAATGAACAGGACGTGAAGCATTGAAGAGATTATTTAAAGACGATTTCAGGAGAAGAATGAAGATATTTAATTTACTGGTGGAAAGTATAGCGGTATATGGAGTAGAGATGGGGCTGGCAAGAGGATAGGAGACTGGATGGAATAAAAAGAAAATACGTAAAGTGGATTTTAGGATTGAATTGGAGGACACCAAACTACATACTAGCAGAAGAAACAAAAAAAAGAGAAATAAAAACGAAAGCGATTAAAAGAGCAATCAAATACGAAGAAAAAATAAGAAGTACAAAAATGACTGCTGATACAGAAATGTATAAAGGAGCGTCCATTAAAGGAAGAAAGCAACTGGCAGAAAAAAAGGAGGGAAATACTGAAGAGAGCAGGGATGAGTAAGGGACAGATGAGGTTAGAAAGAGAGGACGGAGATAGGAGTATAGCTGAGGATCTAGTAAAGAAAATAGAGAATAAGGAGAAGAAAGGAGATTGAAGATAAATGAGTGATCTAGATACAATTATAAAAGCAATGACAGAGAAAGTACCAAATATTAAAACGTACTAAATATTAACGTACACTTACGTTTAATATTCACTTTGAATAAATGGTATAAAAATATACACTAATAACCAGTGTTGGCTCAAATTGGCATTTTATTTATTATTTTTTAGAATTTTCTTTAGAGCCTATTGATTTTATTGAAAATAATAATAATATAATTATGTATAATCATATATAACCGTTTATACAATATGTACGCAAAATTTCTTATAAGAAACCAGGTCTATTTAAATGAAGATGACAGATCTGGACAGATCTTGCTCGATTTTTGTCTGCAAATTGCTGGCAAAACAACAGGATTTGTCAACAAATCCATAGCCAAATGCGGATGACTATGATTTTATAATCAAAATCTGATCGAGTTTGCTACCAATTTGCGCGCAAATTTCAAACATTTTGCTATCAGGGATAGACCAAGCATTTTGTTCATTTAAAACTGAAGATGACAGGGTCTGTGATTCCATTGTACCTCTTTCTATCTTTAAAAAAAGTATAAAACTTTAACAGTCATAGATGATTATTTAAACGAGGGATGTATCGAATCGTAAAATTACCGGATATCCAAAAATGTGACACCGGATATCCGTATCTGGAACAAGGCTTCCAAAAAAAAAAGCAAGGGAAAAATAGCGATAATTTTTTTAATTTCGTAACGTGAAAAGAAAACGAAGGAAAAATGAACCGTACAAGTTCCGCTGAAAAAAATAAAAATTCTGCATTAATGACGCAAACTTTCAATATAAAATTTCAGTCGGATATATGTATATTACCGGACACTAATGATATTCGGCTCCGATCGAATAGCAAAAAATACCGGATAATGTCGGATACCTGATATTTTACGGATATCCGGTGCATCCCTAATTTAAACAATTTCTGGCTTCATCTTTTACTAAAACTCTTACCGAAAAACATGGGAATGTTTGGTTTTGTATATATGTCATTAGTATATGTAGATAAATATCTTATACCTTTGTATCTAAACTTCTTTAGAGTCTCTAGATAGACTTCCGATTCAATTAAGAGAGAGAAGATCACAATATCAAAATTAAACTTGAAAGATACCGTACAAAAAAGTACTCAAGTACATGTACAAATATAAGTCGCTTATAAGGATCTACGTAATGCACTTAGATATTGCTAAAGTACTTAAATATTTATACCTACATATATTACAACACTGGATATATTAACTGATTATTCTAGTACCTGTTGAAATCACATATATTTTTATAAAAATTCTGTTACATTATAGTATTCAGATCGGATATGGCCAGTGATAATTTTAGGGGCCTTGATGTTCATACCAGGAGCTTATCATATGAGGGTAGCTATTTTAGCGTATCAGAAAGTACCTGGCTATTCTTTTGATGATATACCTGAGTTTGATTAAGATTTGTATATATATATATATATATATATATATATATATATATATATACACATATATGTACACA